CTTTTTAAAGTTTCATTCGTTTATTAATAAAGCATCAAAAGTTCTAGATAACTTAAAAACTATGCTTTGTGCATCTGGTAACATTATAAAACCTTTAAATGATCTAGAAGAACGTGCAGAACAAGAAAAAGGTTCTGCAGACAAGGTAATTTTTTTTAATTGCCCGACGATAAAACGTTCAAGTCAAAAAATGGGTTGTACATGATTCCGGAATTTTTTAAAGAGTACAGCAAAATCAGGTTTGGTACGAGATTTTTGGGATTTGGTAGGTCCTACCAAACGTTAAAGGTTTAGAGCTTTAAATATCAAGCCTTTTTAAGTTCGGTATGGCATCTTGGTTTTTAGCGTGTAGTTAGTCCAGCAGTATCCGTTTTTTTTGCTAATTCCAAGAGTCTATGACTAGACTATGAGGTGTTGCACGATAGAGACGACCAAAAATATAGACCATGTGTTCGACTGATGTCACCGATTTCAATGAAACTTTGTACACGTGTAGCTCCAAGTGAGCTGTGAAAATGTCAAAATTTTTTTCTTCTAAAACTATTCTCTTATTGAGATATTGAAATCACAATAGAGGCATCCTCAGGTAAAAAATGGCGATAACCAATCCAGTACCCATTCATTGTATGTTTCGCTATTTTTCAACAGAATATCTCAACACACATGGGCCATGTTCATTCTGATGAACTTCATCAAAATTCTTGTAGATTAATCGATCGACAGTAAACAAGTATTTGAAGAAGCAATCGGAGATTGCACAGAAGAAAAACATGTTGCAAATTGAGGAATGATCCATGTATGCCATACAGATATATAAATATTGCTTTTCATTAAAAATAAAAGAAACATTGACATGGAAATGCAATTTATTTTATTTTATTCTGTTTTGTGCACTTAAGCAGTAAACAATTTGATTTCCATCAGAACTATCATTAAATGTTCATTATTTTTTCTTAAATGCATCACCTACATTGATGGATAACGATTAGCCAGAAATGACGAAGCCTTTTCTTTATTTTGATGTATAGAAAATATTGCACTCAAAAGTCTATTAATCTATTCTTTGAAGAGTGAATAATTCATGATAGCAATGATTGGATAAACGCTTCCCAACACTTTACAATTATCGAAATATTTAAAATCTATCTTAGGGGTAAGTGGATGGTAAATGACAACAAAATGCTTTATCATCGTCCACATATATCAAAAATAGTAAGCGTCTTAGAGAGAAACTTTTGTCAGCGATCATTGTTGATGCGATGAGAAAAACCCATCAATCTTAGGTGAATCTAAAGAGAAAGCTGCATATTCTCACACAAAAAAATGCAAGCCTAATGCTCATCTATAAATTATCCTAAAATTTGGCACAGCTGATTAGCTTCGAGACTGGACAACTTAGATGATGAACGTATTCAAAATATCAGAAATACTTTTAATTATTGTTTTCTTTTTCAAAAATTGTACGGAGTCACCTACATCCCCCACCTACTTCATGTGAAATCGAAGCGACGATCTGAGGAATTAAAACTAATGTCACGAATATTGTGCATTGCCATCAAACCAAAGATATTACTATGAAATTATCATCAATAATCAGCAAACTGGAAATATGCTAAGTACTTGTAGATCGTTATTAAGTTAAAATTGCCAATTTCGAATTATCTTGTATAGGGAATCGGTTTTATGTACACTAGGACTATAAACAAATATATCATCACAATCTACTCCATGCAAAAACAATCTTCAGTATTGTTTTGACATGTGATCTAGAGAGAGAAATTTCAGATCTATAGTTCAAGATATAATTCGAATGACTATCTTCTCACATCCTAATGTTGAGCAAATAAAATCATCTATTTATTCGTACGAAAATTATATATTTCTTTTAATTTTTAAGCAAAACTTTTCGTTAAAATTTCATCTGAATAACACATCATTTTTGATACATTTTTTGCAATGTTTTACAGAAATGATTGATTTTAAGACGATTTCGTCTTATACAATGTTGGAGAAAAAGACGTCCTCGTGTCTCCTCTTCCGATTGGTGAAAACTACGGGTCTTTAACTGTTTGCGTTCTCGAATTATTCATAAAACAGTGGAGCACATTATATTTCTAAAAGAACAGTAGATGTTATATTAATACACAAGGATTTTTTTATCTTTTCAACAGAAATCTTTAACATAAACCTAACGACGTGTACTAACATGATTTGTTTCAATGAATGTTTTATCGTCAACTAAATCACGAAAATAGAATAAAGAAATACAATTACAAAATTCAACAAAGATCTTTTTATATCGAACAGAAATTTTTGAGTGTAAGATTTTTTTTATAGAAATTATTCATCTTATGAAATAAAAATACACTTTTTTTATTTTTTTTATAAATTTCATTATATTTTCAAGAAATACGTAGATATTCTAAACTGTTCATCATGGAAACTATATTCAGTCAATGAATCCGTTATTACACGATAAAATGAGTAATTTAGTTCTTCGTGAACTTGTTTTTTGCTTTTCATTTTTCTTAATCAAGGAGTCAGAAGTTGTCACTTTCTGTTGTGATGATTCATTGGTGCATCTTATTGATTTTCAAGTTTTCAATTGAACGAAAAAACAAGTATCGACTTTTGAAAATTTGATTAGAGATTTGTATTCCCCAATCCTGATTAACTTCGTTATCATATGAAAAACAGCAGCATCAATAAATATTTGAGACAAGAGGAACAGAAAAAGCAATAGAATTCAGATTTCTATTGTAGATTGCCATTTGCTAGTTGGTATAATTAGTATGAGAAGACGATTCGCATCGATGATCGATCTCACTATAAAAGATAATCAACAGTTTAAGTTAATTTGTATCATTTTAGAGAAGCAATGGCAGGAAACTGAGATATTACTTAGACTATTGGGTTTAAAACAAACTTGAAAATATTTGAAAATGTGTAATCTGAAAATGAGTAGTGAAAAATTATGGTTCTCCATTTGAAAAAGCAGCCGGTTGAAAGAAATTCTTGTATGTTCCTAAAAAAAAAAACAATCATACGAAGTAAATCTAATCATTTTATTTAATATAATGTTGTAATCGTAAACACTGATCCATCCTGTAGGATGGAACAAGAACAATGTATTCATGCAGTTTGTCATAATCTAATATGTTTTAAACTTACACACAATTGATGATCTAATTTTGAAGCTATTGTTAGTCACTTTTTTGCCTAACTGGTACCTATTTTCAAAGAAAATAAAACTCAGCGTAAGTCTAAAAGAAGGTAGCACAAGTCCTAGCAATCATATGGCGACAAGAGAAAGATTATCCATTGTGTTTTTCTAAAACCGGGAAAAAACGTATGAATAATCTCTATAGTTAGATCATTCTGAAATTCTAGAGACTCTAGCTAGTCTGTATATTACCGGTTTTATTTTTAGTGCATCGAAAAAAACTTATTCTAGATATCAATCAAGTGTATGACCATGTCTTATATTCAGCTGAGCCAGGATACGACAAACGTAGAAAGCATGAACTCAACAAAGTCTAACCTTGAACAAAACTCAACAGTATCTGGCAAGGTTCATCCAAAGTAAGAGCCACATGAATAATACCATACTGAATAACTAAATCAAAGCTTATGCTAGACAAATATCATAGCTAAATCGGCAAATGAAGAATAAAATTATACATGCTGTCTCTTATTACCCACATCTTACAAGACAAATGAGTTCCTAAAGCATAAAGATATTCAATGAATGAAATAGATTGGTAGAAAAATTGTTCGAAATACAAACATTTTCGACATTGCATAAATATAAGAGCGCGTCGATCAATCATTATAATTGTTATAATTTTTATTTAGTAATTTATTTTGTAGTTTTTTTTTTCAACATCTTATCTTATTAATACCGTCTGTTTTATTTATCTTTGTGTACTTGTTGTCTTTTGCCGAACTGCGATCACTTCATAGATCACAACGTAATTTATTATCATATTATTATGAGTCATCAACATGCCTGATAAATCATTCATCATTTTAAATCATACTGCTCTAGATAATTTTCAATGAAAATTGATTTTGAAAGGAATCTTGATTAAGTGTATTTCAGATCCGATTAATTCAAGTCTAGAGGTAAAGTATCTTGTTATAAATGAGTTTGATTCCGAATGTTGTACCCAGTGATGATAGAAACCGAAACTTGCCAATGAGGACTTTAGTCTGTAGTCTTCGACCATTTTGTATTTGAAATACAGTTTCAATGTAGGTTCATGTTGAAATTTACGAGCTTTTGTTTACACTATGACAAGAGAGATACTATCTACTTACCTTTGAAATAATCCATGAATAAATTTGAATTATTCATCAACTGAAAGGGATAATATTTTCATATATCTATACTAAAAAAAACTCACTTGGAAAAATAAATGTTGTAAAGAATCACATTTGAATCAACAGATTTTATATGCTGTTTTCTTGGAAATGAGCCATATATTGAACAAAACAAATCGTTTTTGTTTAATATAAAGTGATTCAATATTTTATGTATCATTTCAATAAACTATTATTCATATTTTATCATTTAGTTAATTTTCATATCAATTATACTTATTTCTTATTGAGCATATATTGATTGACTGGTGGTTTATGCAATGCTTCTTATTTTATTCTACATCGTCGGTTGGTTTACTATCAAGGTAAAGTGAATTGATTTCAATGATATCATTATATCACTTCATACAACCATAATTTTGATAATATAAGACAATGGAACTATATTCGATGAGTTATTGCAATTCATCATTCAATAATTGGACCGAAAAATTGAGAATGTGATCGTAAATTGCTTATGTATCAAAATTCACTATGGGCATTTCTAAAGTTCTTTAGAATGACGAAAATCCAGTCAGCAAACATAATCTTTGACGTGTATGTGAAGTAATAAATTTTGATAGAAATCATTAGTGAATTTTATATTTAAATTCCAAGCACATCTTGCATTGTCTAATAGTTTCTCTGTGTAATCCAATATTCCCCTTTTTTTTTGGATATACAGTTAATTTACATCTATATCAGAAGTGAAGTTTTTATCCACTTGCTTCACCAGTTTAGTAATAAAATCTAAAAAAAAAGAAGTGAATTTGAGTATAATAGCTTTGAAGAAAATCTTCGGATACAATTGTATACAAGTTTTCAGCAAAATAATAACGTTGAAATCAAAGGACTATTTAACTTTGCAAACAATGAATAAATCCATTGATAATTCTTTTATGTTTGCTTGGCCATGAGTGACAA